CTATTCCAACTAGGAAAGGTGGGAGTCCTACTCCCTCTCCGGGAGTAGGACTCCTCCTGGCGCGCTTCTCCTGGCCGGCCGGCCCCCCTCCCTTGAGCCTTTATATACGGAGGCAGGGGCACCCCCTAGAGACACAAGTTGATCCACGTGATCATATTATTAGCTGTGTGCGGTGCCCCCTTCCACCATAGTCCTCGATAATATTGTAGCGGTGCTTAGGCGAAGCCCTGCGACAGTAGTACATCAAGATCGTCACCACGCCATCGTGCTGACGGAACTCTTCCCCGACACTTTGCTGGATCGGAGTCCGGGGATCGTCATCGAGCTGAACGTGTGCTAGAACTCGGAGGTACCGTAGTTTCGGTGCTTGATCGGTCGGGCCGTGAAGACGTACGACTACATCAACCAAGTTAACGCTTCCGTTGTCGATCTACAAGGGTACGTAGATCACACTCTTCCCCTCTCGTTGCTATGCATCACCATGATCTTGCGTGTGCGTAGGAATTTTTTTGAAATTACTACATTCCCCAACAATGCCTCCCCACCTTGCTAATCGTGTCGGCTTGCTGTGGCGAAGCTTCCAGTTAAGGTTCGTGATGGGTCACTCGTTGATTGTTGCTGCTCCTCTGTTGTGCCAAGGGGTTGGTACGCACGCCGGTGTGGTGCGTTAGGATAGTTGTTTAGTGTTGGTATTGTGATCCCTCGACGACACACCACTTCCACTCGACTTTTATGATGGTGGTCTCTTGCCTTGCTGGCTAGGTAGTGCCTTCTTCGAGGCGTCTCCATATGTTCTCACCCTATGTAATCCTTCCCTCCTGTGCGGTTTTTTGGCCCGGTTTTCCTTATAAACGGGGTCAACCTGTTAAGGTTTTCGATCCTGTTTTTCTTATAAACTGGATCAAACACTTGCATTTTGGCCACTTTAAGCAATATATTTAGGTGGGGACTCTCTCCCCCGTGACCGTTCAAAAAAAAAGTATTGAAGGTGGCCTCCACCCAAGGGGACGCGCACCCCGCTATTTGCGGCGGGATCTGATGGATCCAGCCGTCCGCCAAACTAAAAAACCGAAGAGCGTCGCCCATGATGAGCAGCTATCCCACACCCAATCCGCTGACTTGTACTACTCCTGTATAACCAGCCGTCACCTGTCTCCATCGAACAAACCAAGATCCCAGAAGCATCCCACACAAGCCAAGCCAAGACGACGGCTCCCAGCAGCAGGCAGCAGCTGATGGAGATCGCCAGGGTCGACCTCCGCGGGCTGGAGCCCGGCGGGCCGGGCTGGGCGGAAGCCCGGGACGCGGTGACGGCGTCCGTCGTGGCGCACGGCTTCGTCGTCGTGGCGCACGACGCGCTCGGCCTGGAGCTCCGGCAGGCGCTGTTCGGCCGCGTCATGCCGGAGATCTTCGCGCTCCCGCCGGAGGCCAAGCAGCGGAACGTCTCCGAGGTGGGCCCCTTCCGCGGCTACATCTCCAACGTCCCCGGCACCAACTGGGAGAGCGTGCGCCTCTCCGAGCCCACCGACGCCGGCCGCGTCCGCGACTTCGCCGACCTCCTCTGGCCGCAGGGGAACCCCGCCTTCTGGTAACCAAGCAGTGCCCACCATTTTCTTCTGCGTCCGTCGTGCATCCGTTTTGGCATGGTGTGCCCGTGGTGACCGTGTGCCGTCCGCGTGCAGCGACACGATCGCGTCCGCGGCCAAGAACGTGTGGGAGCTGCAGCGCACGGTGGAGAAGATGATCCTGGAGGGCCTGGGCGTCGGGGAGGAGCGCATCGGCGCGCATCTGGACACGCTCGCCCACAGCGTCCGGCTGTCGCGCTACGGGCCCCCGCCGGACGCGGAGACGAACATGTCCCTGCAGGCGCACCGCGACGACAGCATCATGACGGCGATCGTGCAGCACGGCGTGGAGGGCCTCGAGGTGCAGGTTCAGGACGGGATCTGGCTCGCGGTGCCGCCTGAGCCGGACTTGTTCACCTTCGTCGCCGGCGAGCTGTTCACGGTATAAGGGCCGCGCGCCCGCGCTCTCCTTTCTCTGGTTGACGCGCGTCTGACTGACACCGCCGTCGCAGGTCGTGACTAACGGGAGGGTGCCGGGTTGCTTCCACCGCGTGAGGACGCCGAGCAACCGGGAGCGCCTGTCGGCGCTGTTCGGCTGCCCGGGGAAGGACGGCGTCCTACTGAGCGCCATCGACGAGCTCGTCGACGACGAGCACCCTCTGCTGTACCGTCCCTGCACCAACGACGGCTACACGACGTTCCGGCACTCAGAGGAAGGGCGCAAGTCCGGTGATCCACTGAAGGCCTTCTGCGGGGTGCAGAAGGATTGATCGCCGTTCGTAACTCAAGCTCAGTTCACCTCACCATTCTGAAGTCGTCAAGCTCTGTTATCCACACCATTCTGAAGCCGCAATTGCTAGGTTACCTATGTAATGATCGCTGCACCATTCTGAAGTCCTATTGCTACTGAACGTTACTCAAATCGCTGGCAGTTATCTTATCGTTTAAGCACTTTATGGATGATAATTACTAGTACGACATTACCGGCTGATCTTATTCAGTTTACTGTTGTGCACACGTTCCCTTGCTGATGGCAAGTGCAATATTTGCTGGCCCCATTTCAGCTTTGAGAATATGCTGATCACTTCATCAGTGCTTTCGTTAAGCACAATGTATGCAACAAAAACATGGCCTGAAAGCTTTCAAGCGGAATTTTATCATTGACCACGGCACCACCAACATGCTAAACTATGTACAAAAACATTCCGGTCACACGATTGATACCGGATTACAGATGCAGCTAGATAGCTGCACTGTAAATGCAACCGAAATGGCGCGACTAACTACCTACAGGCGGGCATGAGAGATTCTTGCTAGATCAACCCCTAATCCACTAATAATGAATTTGCTGCCTTAGCCTGCAAAAGAATAAGGGATCTAGAGCA